AGACATACGCTGCTCTCGAAAATCCAGAAAATCAAAGCGTGCAGCGATAAGGCACACATCCAAGCTGGTGGAATGCAGGAGGCCGTCATACTTGGATCATTGCGTTCACTCAGGGCGCACAGTTCTTGGTCCCAGTGATTCTTCACCCAATAGGCTCTGGGGAGTAGTCACTGGATTCCATCCAACACGACTCTGCGTGGCGTCGGAGGCCGCAGAGTCGTGACTGGAATAATATGAATTTGAATAAAAATAATGATAATAATATTTCATCTTTATTTCCTCAAAAGAAAAGTACATAGTAATTGATGGTATGTGCACCAGGCGAAGTTTAGCTAGGAAGCTATTCTTATACTTGACCTGTGCTCGACTCATAATCTAATCCAAATACTAATCATAGACCGAAGAACCTCAATCTAGCTCGACATCTACATTTTCACTCATTGCCTCACATGTAAGGTGTGATTCAACAAATTGCTTTTAATTTTTTACGGAATTGCGGCGAAGGTGATTGTTTGGATTCTCTTGGTAATGAATTATAAAGTATAACAGAGTTGTATGTGAAGCTTCTTGCGAACATAGACGTGGTATTGTCAATTTCAGCTGATGTCTAACATTTATATTATGGACATTTTGTCTGTAAGAAAAGCTGGAGTTGAATTCTTCAGCAACTTGTGAATGCACTTGAAGCAAAAATATTTTGAGGAATTGCTCATATCTAACCACTGGAGTTTGTTAAGTTTATGGGTCACATGATCATATTTTCTCAAATTGAAAATGAGTCGACAACATGTATTCTGAATTTTCTGGATTCTGTAAATGGTTCTTTGTTTGAAACAGGGAAAATGAACGATGTTACAATGCTAAAAAATTGACAATACGAGACACTCACATAATTGTTTTCTCAGATTCAAACTCATAATGCTCTTGTTTGCATTGAGCAATCTTAATCGTGCGTATGAGCGCTGTATTAATGTCTTGACATATTTGACGAATCTTAATTTTCCATCAATGATGAGTCCTAGATTCTTCGATTATGTCGAGTATTCTGAAGGTGTATCCCCTATATGCTATTGAACACTTCCTTTGAGCTGTTCTCTTACACCTTCAGAACAAAATAAAATAGCAACTTCCTTGGTGGAATTCAATGTTAAATCGAAATTTATTTCCTCACATGTATCAATTGCAAGAGAGGGTTCAGAATGATGCACAAATTGTGTGTCGTCTGCATAAGTTTGAAGATTCGAATATTTTATTTCATCATATATATGTCTGCTCTGTATATATCAAGGATGAAAGAGGGCCTAGAATGGACCCTTGAGGAACACAGGAAATAATGTGAGGTATGAGCGACAAAATATCATATATTCAAACCATCTGATATCGATCAAAGAGGTAGCGCTTGAAAAAACGAACAGCTGAATCGGCGAAGCCATAATATTTCGGTTCACTGTAAAAAGATTATGATCAATACAATCGAAAGCTTTGAAATAATCAAGGGATATCATCGCGAGATCTGAATATGTAATCGGTTAGGTTTAAACGTGAGTTTGTCGTACTATGCGAAATCCTGATTGATGGAGCGGTAATATATTAAGTTCATCTATAAAAGATGTAACTCGATTATATACGATTCTCTTTTTGTCCTCTTCAAAAAGAAATCGAAAGAAATATTTCTTCAATTAGAACTTTTCCGTTCCATAGCCAAATCCATAGCCCACCATTGAAATCCAATGTTTTAGTGATTTTGGAGCATTTGAGAAAATTTCATATTTATTCATTATATATTATCTCCACGAAAACACATTTGGAATTTCATGAGCTTTCAGAATAGAGGGTGTTTCATTTGAAAAAGCATAAGTTTGAGTCGTATCTGCAAAACCACACCACGAAAAGAAATTGTGTGCTTCGCTGGATTCTGCGTATTCTCTAAGGGATAGAATTTTAATTTGATATTTTCGCTGAGAAACTTCGTAGATATAGAGGGGGTTCAAAAAGTATGAATTCTCACAATCACCTTGTATCACATAAACGAAAACAGTTGTGCAAAATCTGATAATACCATCTTGTGTTTCACAAAAAAGTGGCACAGGATCGCGGAAACTGCAAGGTTCAATCTCCAAAGATAACTGAGATATCACGCAAATGCATCATCGAAATCGGAACACACTGTACATTATCAACGAAAACAATCACATATCAGATGCATCTTGTGTCATTGTACTTGACTGCAAAGAATGTCGTCCTTGGTTTCATTCTTTATCCTAACCCTGTATTATTACTTTTTCCAATAGATGATGATTAGTTACTGCGATAAAAATATTTCTTCACCAAGCTGTCGAAGAGAAGTGAATTATTTAAGTATACTGAAGCAAAAACTGTGAATGGAATAAATTCTGCCATCCGATGGTTAGGAATCATTCAATCATCACTATTGATTAGTATTTATTCGACGAATATAGTTTAATGGATTCATATGAGTCATCGAATGTATTTCTGAGATAGATCCAAGTGAATATTTGAAAATAAACATACTTGAATAGCAGAATTCAGTTCCCTAATCAAAACCTCCATTATATTATTTTTTTTGTTGCTATTTTGAGTCTTCATTGAAGTCATTATAATACGCAAATGCTAATCGGAACAGCTTATACATGTTAAATTTCTTCTTTATAGTTAATGTGAAACTGAATAATATTTTGAACACAATCAAAGACGTTATTCAAAAGATATTTTCCGTTCGTTAGTTTGTGAATCATTCTCACTGGGTAGGTAGCTCGGTAGGTATAGGTATCTATAAAAATACTCACTACAAAAAACATTTCAAAATATGTCAATGCACTCCAAATCATAATCAATAAAAATAGATACTATAGATAGGTATAATATAAATAGAATCAAAAATCTCTCGAGCTATAGCTTTTTGTCGAAAGTTATAAACATACGTGACAATCATTGATACCTAATGAAGTAACAGTGATAAAGTTGCTGCATATTTTCATTGAATGAGAAAAATGAGTTCAAAAATAAAGAATCAAAATATTCCCGGTTCAACTGCCGCTGCAATGTTTACCAAACAGACAACTCGAATTATTGAAATTCAATAACCGCCTCATGTCTGTGACCTCTCGTACAGTCGCATGCCGCCATTATAAATAACTCAACTCTAACATGAATATCATCGTTGATGTAAATAAATAGTATATCATTATATACAAGTTTCATAGAACACTAGTTTTTTTGGAGCACTCCTCGCTTCGCTCGTCGAACTCCCAAACAACGCGTGCCCCCACATGTCTTATAAAACGTGTATAATATACAATGTTTCTCATTTGCATTCATTTCTACTCTTTTATTTGAAAAATCATCAATAAAAACATAAAAAATTTATGAGTTATGAAGTAAGTATAGTTGGTAATAATGAAAAAACATTTTGATGTTCATTGCCCAATTTCGCAGGTGGTAGAAAAATTATGCAAATTAACATTATCATTCCAGCGATATTATTTGAAGACCACAGGGAAAAGAGGGGGAATGTCACAATATAGTGGAAATTGACTTCACACCGCCATCTGATAACCTAACCACTATATTTTATGTTCACATCGAAAAAATGTCCACATAAAAAATGTGAAGATAGGGAAACGTCCAAGCTTAGTGCTTGCTTGAATACAGATTCCATTGTAATTGTAATAGGTTATTTTCACACTGTAAAAGGTCAATGTGAACTCTCAGGCAAACGGAAGATGAGAAAAAAAAATACGAAAAAGAATATTCTCAGATATAATTATGAACATGAGAAAAATGGATATATTTATGAAGAAGTACATTGAGAATCCGCATTCTCTATGTAGTCTATGTGATGAAAATATCAATTCTTTCCTGGCTATATGCCACGACGAACATTGAGTTATATCTATTGAACTTATACGATAAGAATTTGAAAACAAAATCCTCTGGAGTAGAGAATTTGCATCCTCCTTCATATAGATGCAAACTCGAGTTGCACCCCTCCTGAACTGAGGGAATTTGCACAATCGGCTTCAAATGATTTGTAGCCCAAGAAATCTCGTCCAGCTTATGAAAAATGAATCCACAATTTCCAAGTATGTATGGTGTCAAATCTTTAACACCACATGATTCGAATGTAAACGCTTCTTGTTGACCTATATACCGCAATGGTAACTGCATAAATAGAATTAACACAATTGGAAAAATTCCAAAAATCATTTCAAAATATCTTAAATTTCCAAATCCTGAGATTTTCACATTACCAACTTTGGAACAATATATTCAGCGTGTCCTAATACGCATTGGAGACGAAAAATAGGAAAACATACAAAAAACACTCACCGTGCATGTAGTGGACTCATTATTTGTTTCCGGTGATTTTTTCATTCGAATATGATTTTGTTTTCAGTTGTTCAACTTTATTGATCAATATTCTCCATCAAATGAATCATGGTGGTTTGATTTCAGTTTCCTTCAACTTCCAAAAAGTAAGGAGGTTTAAAACTTTGGAATGCGTTTTTCTCGAAACTCCCTTTTTGAGACTTCCCTCCTTTTTTCCCTATGGTCTTCATTTGAAATTGTTGGTCCATCAAAATTGTGAATTTCCTATTTCGAGAATGACTGAAGATGCAAACTCTAGTTGCACCCGTCCTGAACTGAGGGAATTTGCACAATCGGCTATAAATGATTTGTAGCCCAAGAAACCTCGTCCAGCTTATGAAAAATAAATCCACAATTTCCAAGTATGTATGGTGTCAAACTGGCGATATCTTTAACACCACATGATTCGAATGTAAACGCTTCTTATTGACCTATATACCGCAATGGTTACTGCATGAATAGAATTAACACAATTGGAAAAATGCCAGAAATCATTTCAGAATATCTCAAATTACCAAATCCTGAGATTTTCACATTACCAACTTTGAAACAATATATTCAGAGTGTCCTAATACGCATTGAAGACAAAGAAAACATACAAAAACACTCACCGTCTAGTGGACGCCACATCACCCCTCTCAACAGCAAGCAAAAACTTCTTTTCGTCCAATGTTAGCTGCGCTATCTCTTGATGTGGTCTGATGACGTTCTCCTCTTCCATCATACCGTGTATGCTATGTCTCTGTCACACGAAAAAGCAATAGGTACAATTAGGGTAATGACTGAAAAGGGTGCATACGGAAATTTATGCATGATCACGACAATAATACAGTCGTGATGATGTTTTGTAAACATGGGGTTGAAAGATCGCAAAACATATAGACTGAGATATAATAGATAAAATAATGTACAGAACGTTCAGAAAAACAGCTTTTCTACCTTCGATATAACATCAGATGAACTAATCATAACTTTGGATGATTCTGTTCATTCCATCAACAGTTTTCAAAGGGTGGTGCTCCAGGATCAACGAAGATTATTCGAAAGTCATTCACCATGTCTTACAAGTCAACTGTTTCGCCATCCTGCTAGAAAACAACTAGATTTCAACAATTTCCAGGAAAGGGAAAAATACTTGAATAGCAATCATATCGAGCTGTCATCCCTTTTTTTTCAAAATGATAAAGTAATTCATCGACATTGATCTCATCAATTATCTAGATAGCTTAGGCGGGATATTGTCACGTTCGTCCAAAGGAACTAAGATTTCTTTTCCTGTTCTTCATTGTTTACTCCTGCACCTGAATTATGAGCCATCCATGTACCAGATTGACTCATTGGGAGAAAGCACTCCAGGTTTTGTTTCAATCCAATCTTCCCTTGTAGGGATGACAATGGAATGTCAATGTTTGGGGCTTTGTTAAAGTTCAGAATCGGCAAGGTAATGTGACTTCTCATCATGAGTATGGGACAGCTTTCCTTTGCCTTGATCCACGTGAAGGAGTGTCCATGATCTGCTTCTGTTTCGACCAACTGGTTTGCACCGTTGAGTCGGTTAGCAGTTCTTATGGTTTCGTGTTGTGTTCACAGGTGGAGAGGCGGCAGACCTAACACAGCTCCAAGAGCCCTGGTTGGCGTCGTTCTCAAAGCTCCTGTTATTCCCAGGCAGGCCAGTGTCAGGAATTTATTCAGTTTTCTTTTGGTCTCGCCCTCATTGGTATTATTTCACCATACACGGCCGTGGGCCCACCATGTACTCACGGCGTCGGAGTGGGGGCAGCCCCAGGTGATTCCAGGCCTCTCATGTTGAAAGCTTGAGGTCCCCACTCTCGTCATGGTAGCGGTACGTGTGGAAGGCCGCGAACGGTCACCCATCAAACGGGACTGGAGGATTCCGGTCGACATGGGTATCTGGGCTTGCTCAGAAAAAACTGGAACTTTGGTGTACCTTGTGCCTTAGTTCGACAGGGAGGGGGCAGCCTCAAGCAATCCTACCGCCAGTCATCGTAGGCAGAGCCGGGTCCTCTCCTGTAAACGAGGTAGAGGATCGTGTAAAAGTTCTCGAACGATCACTGATTCAACGAAACGAGAGGATTCTTGTCAACATGAGTAGCAATCAGGCCAAAGCCTCTTGCGACGGCGACCCATCAAACGTAACAAGAGGAATCTTGTTGACATGGGTACCTGGATGAGGATAGCCCCATCAGGTCGTACATATACGGCCTGATGCCTCACCAATGGGGTTGGACTCCAGGGGCAGCAGTTTCCAAAATAACACCACTGGACTAAGGTAGAGGAGGTGAAGAAAAATCCCACTATGGGTCCAGTGGAAGGATATCTTAATTGCCTCAGCGGGTAAGCAGCGTTTTTGCTTGGGCACTGACACTGCAGAGCCAGTAGTCTGTTTTATCAGACGGCCTCACCATTGGTATATTGAAATGGTAGCAGGAGAACATACCGTTACATAACGGAGATGACTATAGCGCACTGATTTGACGTATCCAAATCCTCCACTTCTTCCTGGGATGCTCGGTATAAGTCGAGAGATAGGTGACCGGTGACCGGCAGTCAACCACTATGGGAGCCTTGTGAGAGAGGGTTGGGAGTGGGTACTTTGATGAGCTTTTGTATTTGAGACAATTTCGCGAGATAAATATCTCAGAAAGTGTTTCTATTTTGCGTGTCTTAGTGAATAATACCAAGTTCGCCTTCTCAGGATTGACTCTTAATCCACTGGTGGAACAGCTATTCTACCTTCGATCAGACAAACTAATCATAACTTCGAATGATTATGTTCATTCCACCAACTGTTTTCAAGAAGTGTGCTGTATAATCGACAAAGATTGTTTGGAATCAATTCACCATTTCGTACAAGTCAAGTGTTTTACCATCCTGCTGGAAAACAACAAGAGTCCAACAATCTCTAAGAAAGTTAAGGAACTTCTGAATAGCAACTATATGCATATCACGCTGTCATCTGTTTTTTCCCAAAATGATGAAAAAATCCATCGACATTGAGCTCATCAATTATCTAAATAGCTCAGGCGGGATGATACATAATATGGCCGTTGCCATCAGAGATCAACTATAATGGGGATTGAGTTGCCTACTTTACCCCTATAGCAAGCTTCTTTCACGGAGAAAAAAGAATTGTTGAATCAAGGAAAATGTGATTGAATAAAGCAAATATAAGTGGCATATATGCACGAAAAAATATGATCTTGAAATGAGTAAATCCCTCCCTTATACTTTGATCAATTCATCATATTCCAGCATCAAATTCATAATTATCCTACCAGAGGTAATAATAACCTGTATGTACCACGCCTTAATTACACTAGTTCAATGAACTCTTTATTCCATAAAGGACTACTAGAGTACAATGGCCTCCCAGATGATATAAAACAAAGTGAATCTCTTAGAACATTTAAGAAATCCCTTGTTAGATATTTGAAAATGAGATATTGATAAACCTCAGAGTCTTTTTTTTTCTAGTCGATAGTATCGACAATTCTCCATTTCACTATTTATTGTTTGGATTATATGAACTTCATCTGTGTTATATACTTATATTTAAGACTTTACAATTTATAAACTTTAATGAATGTAGTTTGTATATTAGGATGCCCTATTTGAATAAATGATTATTATTATTATTATAAATCTATATCTTGTTTCATAGCTAATTCGAAGTTTGAATCAGGTAAATATGTCTTGCATGAACTGGATCTTATTCAATCAAGCACATTCATGAATTGTTTGTGAAGAGATATTGAATTAGCTCAATCAATCATTCTGTTTGATTCAGAATAACAAGATATCAATTCAATCGAATAATTAGTTGATTCAATGAAATTTTTGGTTGATTCATAGGAATATTTGGTTGATTCAATGACTTATTTGGTTGATCCAATGAAATATTTAGTTGATATTCAATGGAATATCCTATTAATCCAATGATATATTTTAATAATCCAATGAAATATTTCGTTGATTCGAGAGAATCTGTATTTCCATTCGATAAATTGTTTTGTTGAACCATATTCAGTATTGATTTGGGCAAGCATAGACGAGGCGAAGAGATCGCCATCTAGAAGCAAAAATTCAACTTGATGTACAATGAACGAAATATTTCATTGATATTACATGTTTGGTTGCTCAATTCAAGCAAATGATCCGTTCGAAATGAGTTCATTGCTACTTCGGAATGAGAAAACTTGTATGTTGTTTCAACATCGAAATTTTTTTGGATCGACATACATTTTTTTGACCATATATTTTGTTGATGGAATTCATATTATACTGTTGATTTGATCAAACTTCATTCTCCATTCGAACAAGTTGCTTTCATGAAATAATCATGTAGCTGTTTGATTCAAGAAAAAATTGCTCAGTCCAACAAAATTAATTCAAGCATGAATAATCTCTTGATGGAACGAAAACAAGGGGAATCACTAGCTGTGGCATAAAATAGATCCAACAGAAAATTGGAAACAACTGAAATTAACTATCGAAGAAGATATGCATTTGGTACAGAGTTGGTTCGATCATAAATCACTTACAATAAATTTCGAAAATACAAATTTCCTAACTTTCACTTATGAACAGAATATGCCGACTTTCAACCAAATTGACATTAACAATGGAAACCAGACCTTCAGTATAATGGGTAGAAATGATATCCTGTCCTCGTAGGAAGTCAACTACTGCATACTCGGATGAGGAGCTATTACAGGAACATATTTGAAACCCCTTATAATCTTCCGGGATCGAAGGTTCTAGACGTAAGACAAATTCACTATTTGAATATTAACGTTAACTATCATAGGAATAGACCATATTCCATCACTCAGGAGATCAGGATCAGGAGTGTTTACAATTATTATAACACACGAACTCATTCGCCACACCACGTTCATTACAAAATATATAGGTCAGAGGTCATAAAACTACTTGACACCTGAGTTATACAATAAAATACCAGAAGAAACAGAAGAAACAAGAACTATATATAGTTTCAAATCGAGACTAATTATTCATATTTGTCAAACACCAAGAAAACTCATACATGATGAAATCGAGATGAATCGAACAATCAAAATGACAATCCAAAATAAGAATAATGCTTTCAATATTTTCAGTAAATAATATAGGTACATACATAGGTATAGGATGAAACTTAACTTACACAGTCGTCTAATCCTCTCCTCTACATAGTTATAGATATAGCGATTATATTATTGAATCTGAGTTTATTCAACTAGTTTGATAATTTTTATTTATTTATTTTTGTTCGTGTTTCATCTTTTCATGTTCACAATATTATATCTTCATCCAATTCATTAAATCATATTCATATGATAGTATTGAAAGTTTTGTTTATTACTTGCCAATACCATAAACCTAACCTAACCTGCTCATTATTCTTATCGTATACTTCATTTTCATAATTTTTTTTTACCTTTCTGTAATCATTCTAGAAACAAGTATTTGGTTACTTTTTGAGTATCAATCATCCACCTATAAATTGTTTGTCACTGTCTGTCAGAATACTCAGTTCACGTAGTTTTATGAACGTATAGGTAATTTATATGTGAATAAATATTATTATTATATTCAAATCATTTTATTCGGCACCAAGGACTTCTCCACATCTATCGAGTTACGGAGTATTGTCTGCTACCAAAGTAATCTATTCATGCTTCCCACAAGGATCCATTGAGGCACCAACATAGCTTTTACTTGATACCACTGATCTGTTAGGAAAGTCAACGCTCATAATGAAGATTTTGCCTAAATGGGGTTGTAAACACTATGTCGTATTTCCAATCGTTCTTATTTTCACAAATTCCTCCTTTTTGAAGTATGCAAGGCAATGTTTATACAGCAAGTCTTTTTCTATCATCTTAACCCAACAGATTGTGAGCAAATCAAGGTGATTTTGATTGGATTGGAAATTTCATTTTGATAGGTAATTTCAATAGTACTTACTGATTGCACCTCTCCCAAGGTATGTATGTATGTCGATATTTATAAAGCCATTCTCCTTTTCTCATCTCGATCTTTTTCCTATCAAAAAATCGAATTGAAGGATTGATTGGTGTGAAAATTTTAAATCTCAGGTATTTTTAATTGTTTTTTTTTCAAAGGTCCTCTCCCGAGCTATGTTGGTCGTTTCTCAATGTATGTAGGAAATTTATTCAGGGGTACTTGATGATATTTGATTCCGTACAAGAAACAATCACAATAGTTATTTATGTATTAAGGGAATTATGAGGGCCTTAATTACCGATGGCAAAGTTTGCGTCCCGAGGGCCTCTGGCCCGAGGGACAGCAATTGCCTGAGGTTATTGAGGCTCAGTAATTCCCGTGATACATAGATAATTTTATTTCTGACTGATTTCATTCATTAGATACCTTCCCGATTGGAAGTTAGACATGTTTTTCCGTATAGTTTCAATGTCATCAGAACGTCAGATGATGATCTTGACTACCGCGAATAGGAGATTCCTTGTTGCTACGTTATTGCATGGTTGTTGCTATGCATTTCTTATTTAATTTCAGCTAGAGGGAATTATAGCATCTATAACATCCCAAGGGAGTTATGACCCTCATTATAGATATCGTAACTGTGACGATATAAGCTTATAATGTCACTATCAGAAATAAAAGTATTTTTTGTTGCATGCATCATTGATTTGACAAAATAATAAGTTGACTTACTTTCACTTTCTTGTCTATGGGAGGTTTCTCCAGGAGAGCGGTGGTCATATCTGGTCGAGGCATATCTATCCGCGTTTCTGAGTCACCGATCTTGGTCAGTAAGACCTCCCCTTTTTTCGTCTCTTCTTCTTCCTCTTCATTCTCAGCCGTACTTTCTGAAAAAAAAAAAAAACTACTGTCAAATCAACATAATAAAGCTTGTATACCGGTTGACAACAAAATCATTGGACAGAGTTCTTTCATGTTACACTCTCGACATTTGTATCAAAGATACATAGTTCTTTGAAATCCATATTTTCTATGAAAAAGCGATTCAATATTGACCTAGGTCAAGAATTTACGCAGTTCGATGTAGCAAAACAATCCCTCTTTTATGACATATTACCACCGACTTACTTTATCTAGACCGCTAGTAAAATCGCAGTCGGTTGCTTGCCTGAAAACGCTCCTGCTCAATACACAGAAAACCCCAAGCTGTCGTTCATGACTTTGACGTGGTATCGAAATCAACCTAGCATTCATTTTGTTCATAGGCGGCCGCAAGGTGGATGGCGTTGGCTCAAGTGTTTTGTTTATGCCATCAGGGGTCGGTAAGAGAAAAATAATATCAACATTGAGTGGTGATATTAATTTTTTTGGTTCATTTTCGCCAATTCTAGGAAAAATGAAGTGCTTTGTCTTTTGGTGTAAGAATTCCACGATTGATAAAAATAAAGATGTTTCTTTCTATGGGTGAGTTTGTGGGTAATAAATAATCCATTATTTCAATTGGCTTCCATCAGTTGGGCAAGTTTCTGAATCAAATGGAATCATGCATGTATATTTATTAATCTGTGATAAATTTCGAGTTCAGATGTGAGGTGCCCTGCTCATCTATTTAAGACGATTTTGAATAAAACGTTCACTCATTCAATAATGATTCTAGAATTTTTGAGAATAAGAGAAATGAATAGTTTCAGACTATTAGGAGACCATAAGACCTTAGTCACTCAGGAAGGATAATTAAGTTCAGACCATATTACGCCAGAAAGCTTTCTGATGCTTCCAGGCAAATGCAAATCAGCCGTTTTTCGAAATGATGTTCTCAAATCTTATAGTATTCGAAAGGTATATGAGACCTGAATACGGCATATTTCATTGTTTTCCTACATGTTTCCCACTACTTTATGTATGGTTTATCAACCTTGCATAGTAGACCCCTCCCAACCTTCCTCCTTCGATTCGCCTATGTTTCTCGGATTCATGTCATGAGTGTAACATGACAGATCCTAAATGCGTATGAATCCGTTCCACCAATTAGATCTCCTGAGTGGCTCACTTTTTTCCTAATAGAATAGCGGTCTAGATTAGTCTATGAGTCGGTGTATTTTACAAGTGGACATTTGTTTTCGAAATGGCGTCGCAGGAGACAACTTTCTTAAAACCGATATGGCGACACTGTTACGTCATCGATCGAATTCTCGCCAAGCAACCAAAGAAATACCAAATGGGCTTTGATTAGTTTTTAAAGAAACCTGTGAACGCTTTTATTCATCGCCAATCAGGATCCCCATCAGTGAATTTTTCAAATGACATTCTTTCTCTTGAATGTTATCGAAAATTCGAAATTGAAAATGGATCTTTTTCTTCAGGTTGTTTGTCAAGAATTCGATTGATGACGTACAGTATCCCCAAAATTATTTTTGAAAAAAAATTCTTGCGCTTTTTAAACAAATGTTCACTTGTGTTATGTCATTGACCCTATCGAATTGCGTAGGAATATTTACAGGGTTCCATTCAGAATTCTCGACCTTGGTCAATTTCCTGGTAAATTGGAAGTGATATTCAATTGTTTTTTCATGGAAACTATGGGGTTTTGAGGAACTATGTCCTCAATCCACATGACAAATCGTGAGTCTTACATCAGAAACAACTGAATGGCGCTTTATTTCCAATGATGTCATTGTCACGTGGTATAGATAACATTTTCGGTAAGTAATATATGTTTGTGCAGTCCGAACAAGAATATATCGGTGAGAAATGATGAGTGTTCCATCTGAAACGAAAAACATATCAGCATCTTGGTGTCTTACAAAACCAAAATGAATTTCTGATCACAATGTAATATGTTTGGATCCTTAGAGAATAATATATTGTTTAACGAGCACGGAATGATAGTGATTCCTCACGACAATGAAGTTTGCAGCATGACCGTAGGCGAATGCTGCAATCATTCAAGTGAGAAATTAGAATTCCATGCAAGTTATACACTTGGATTTTTCTACGACTGTTACAGATAACAGCGGCATTTTTTATTTCTTCGTCTTGTAGTCATCTGATTTTCTCTCAAGTAATGATCATCTATTAGACAGAGCTGTCATTGCTTGAAATTCGACATTCCATGAGCGATGTGATTTTTTGAAATAATAACACGATGGAGTCATTGTAATATCAGATACGCAAATAAAATTGATGACATACAAAGTACTGAAGACAAAGTATTGATGTATCGAGCACAGTAAAACAAGAGCAATTTTGTGTTATAGCCGTAAAAAAACTATGCTTATTAAAGAGGAATAATACCGCAAAGGTGAATTTCACAGGTTGATATCTGAGTTCATTGCACCAATTTCCCGTCCGGTTGAAAGATAATAGATCAATGTTATATAGCCACCTATCATATAATATCGGCTATAGGTGAGAATATATTCAGATTGCAGTTGGGGTATGACGTCGATTTTGGAAGATATCATTATTGAATTCAAAACTATTATACAAATATTTTCACACAGTTTCTCACATTGTTTCACTCATCAACAGCGGTTTTATCTTCTCGAGTTTGAGAGTGATTGGCAAGGATATGATGTTGATAAAGTATAGAGTCGATTTATTATAGAAAAAGCTTCACAAATGGTTTCACGTTACATAGAGCTCATCTATTTTCTCGACATATTATTGCACTTCCAAACTCGAAGTGATGATAAATATTGATTAATGAGTGGAACAAATATCGATGTGTTCTTAGCAACGTCACTTAGCGCCCTAGGAGCCAAGTAACATTCATCAATACAGAATTTACTTAGAACATGTGTGAGAATAAGGTTTTTCATGAAAAGTACTAGAAGTTAACTGTCAAAAATGTTAGGGCAATTTGAAATAAATAATGACAGCGTACGCAGCGCCCCCTAAATGTTACATGATATAACTTACTAAACTGGTCAACATTGATAACGTCGTGCACCAAAATATAGCCTGAATCCAAAGTAGAATAACTCACGAATTTCCTCACCAATTTGAAATCGGTTTTCACCGATGATTAGCCTGATCTCTTTGTTGTGGCAATATGAAACTTCTGTAATTTCAGATAACATTGCTACAGGGTGATAATTGAATGGAACAGATAATTTTTTTAATTCTTTCTCTCACCTGTATCCTCTTGATTGATGCTTTCTCTCGTAACGTTTTCGGAATTTTCAAATTCAGAGCTTTGATAATCGTGTTATGAATACTCATTCAAGATTATGCATTTTTTCGACGAATAATTGAATGAAATTGAAAGTTGGAATTCTTCTCCGAAGAATCAACGTTGTATATGTATAGTCATCAGATATGTGATCGTGTTCGAATACAGAAAATTCCGAAGAAGTCTTTACAAAGTGATACAAGAAATACTGAATAATGGAATGGAGAATAACGTAGTCTTCAGTAGATGAAACATAATTTTCTCTGTGTTACTAGTGGAATAATGGAGTGTTACTTCGTCATGAGGATGTCTGGTGTCTGACCTCGAAATGGTTTTGTAATTTCTTGGATCGAAGGTCATATAATGAAAGTTTGCATTTTTAATCAAAATGATGCATTTTCGTTAAGATAATCAATAAAATTCGAGAAATTACGATTGTTATTCCAGAATTACCTATAGAATTCATATTCATTCTTGACGATGGATATACAAGGTGCGATAAAAATATGTCCAGATTGTCCTGGGATGAGGAAGACCTCGAGGAAGACTATGTTTGAACGTTATGAAAATCGCTATGTTCCGAAAAAGAAAAATATTGTCGGTCATTGTCGAAAATTGTGAAATGAATAAATATAGTAACTTTTCATGAGTATTATACAAGGAAATATGAAAGAGACTGCAGAATTGCCACAGATTCGATTAAATGTGTTCATACTAATGAAGATAAATACAGTGAGTCCTCATGAGGCTTCTCCATTCCATCATTCAGTATTTCTTGTATCACTCTGTATAGACCTTTTCAGAATTTTCTGTGTTCGAACACGATCACATATCCGACGACTATACATACAACGTTATTGATTCTTCAGAGAAGAATTCCAACTTTCAATTTAATTCAATTAATCGTCGAAAAAAATGCATAATTTTGAATGAATATTCATAACACGATTATGAAAGCTCTGAATCTGGAAGTTCCGAAAAGGTTTCGAGAGAAAGCATCAATCAAGAGGATACAGGTGAGAAAAAAAATAAAAAAATTATCTGTTCAAACGGTAAGGTGACGATCACGATGCAATTTCACACCCATTCAATTATCACCCTGTAGCAATGTTATCTGAGATTACAGAAGTTTCATAATGCCACAACAAACGAATTGGTGGGGAAATTCGCGAGTTATTCTACTTTGAATTCAGACTATATTTTGGAGCACGACGTTATCAATGTTGACCATGTTTATTTGCAAAAGTAATTTCCGAAAAGCGAAAAATGAAATTCAATTTCAACACCCTGTATCTCCGAAATGAAGCTTCTCCGGACACAAGTTTGTTCATACTTTTTTCTCAAAAACGAATACGTCACTTGAATAATTCAACGTACTTATGTTACACCCTGTATTTTGGGCCAGTGAACAGACAATATCGTGGCCTGCCTACTAAGTTTTCATTCAGAATAATAATGGTCAAAACTTGCGATTTGAGAGCACTTCCGAATGAAAAAATGTTGTTCAGAATGGTCGATTTATTTTGTTTTGCTGCTCGATGCTGTGAGAAAAAGATAAAAATACTGCAATTATAGTTGAACGCAGAGAAATACATATAGCATCTCACAATATATATTGTTATATAATATGCTCTATTTCCTGATTTCCACATTTCACAGGTTCGTCTTTGAATATATTGCACCAATTCCTCATCCAAATAGAAGAGTGGAGATG